TGAACCCCTGATAACGCCGCCTGTAGTGATATTTGCCTCTATTCTTACGAGAAGCCGATGAGTTATTCGCTCATCGCGCGCTTCAGGAATGCTGGTGGAACGTTAAGATCGTTCATGAGTCCCGTTCCGATCTTTAATTTTGAGATCGGAACTTTAAAATTGAAAACGGGCCTGATTTAAAAATCTGTAGGTACGTTCAAGTTCGCTAAGATGAAAGATCGGTTGACAATGTAAAATTGATGAAGCGATTAAGATCGAAAATGTAAGACATTAGATGTGTGAGGCCGTATCTGGCCCAACCCATTTTGGAGAGGGTCAGAAGGGTCTGCCTGAAGGTATCCCGCGAGTGGATGGTAGGCGGCTGATTAATCGATTAATTCGCGGTTTAATTCGCGGATTTAATCCGCGGTTTTAATTCGCGGATTTTTTAGTCCAACGCTGTAGGAAAGGTCTGTTCACGAAAGGTACCCCTGCGAGTGGGTGGTCATTTCATTAGTCGCGAGTGGGTGGTAGGCGGTCGATTCATCGACTGATTGACGGATTTAATTCGCGGTTTTAGTTCACGGTTTGATTCACATGTTGTATTAAGGACTGCTAGGATTTTTAAGGATAAGAAGGGTAGCCATGTATGCTGAAACCGAACGCGGCATCCATCTGGAAGCCAATAATGTCATTAATCATGACCGCGAAAGCCTCAAAACTAAGATCAGCAATTATTACTTAGAATCTCATCGTGTAAATATTGCAATTCTATCATTATTACCAATAGTATTTATAATTACGTAATCACTGTTGTTATTATTACTGCTTGGTTAAATGATTATATAAACAAGCAGTTGGCCGAGCCTATTCGGCAGGAGACATTTGACCATTACTTTTTTCGTTAGTTGTTTTCTTTCTTTTTATTTCTACCAATTCCATTAGTAGAATACTTCCAAACGGATTCGTAGCAATCACCTTAAAAATGGAGATCATCAGATCGCTATGAATAAAGCAACTTGGAAATATGTAATATTTGATCTTTTTTTTTCTCGTCAGATCGGGAATAAACACAAAATTTCGAATTATTTCACTGTTAGATTTTCTCTTATCGGCAATTTTTTTCTTGTTTTTAAAATTTCACAACAAAATTTTTCTGATCAATCTTAGAATAGTGTGTTTCAATAGTGTGTATTTCAAATTGACGGATTACAAATTAGAATCATAATTTGTCATTGAAAGTAACGAATTAACAATTGAAATAATAATTCGTGATTGAAATTGACGATTTCTAAATTAAAATAAGAAGCCCTAATTGAAATCCACCAATTACAAATCAAAAAGATAATCATAATTCAAATCGCCAAATTGAAAATCGAGTCATAATTTGTTACTTGGGAATTGAATTAGAGATGAGAAGTTCTAATTGATGATTTAAAAAATTAATTGAAAATTACGGCTCGTAATTTGAATTTCGAAAATTGGATTACAAATCAAAAATCGTAATTTGTAATTGGAAAATCGAATTACAAATTACGGCCTATAATTTGTAATTGAAAAATTGGATCACGAATTATTGGACTTCGAAAATGGGAGATCAGTTCAAAAGTCATGGAGACTCAACGAAAGAAATTGAAATTTCAAAAAATTACAATTTTTCAGATCTCCACAATTAACGCTTTTAGAAAAGTGTTATGGTATTTCAATGAAAGTAGAGACATTCTGAAAACCCGTTATTCAAGAATGTATGTTTTCGAGACCAATTGCATCGAAGAACAGAGAGACCGAAAACGAGATGCTCTTCAAAAATCAGATGAGTTAGTCCGAAAAAGTCAAGGAATAGTAATGGACGGAAAAAGAAAAAGTGAAGAGCAAGCAGCAGAAGAAAAGGGTAAAAGATTGAAGAACGCAGCAGAGCAAAAGAAGAAATGGGAACTGGAAAACACGGAGGGAATGAAGAGAGAAAATGACGAGAAAAAACAAACGCCAGAATAGATAATAGTAAATAGTAAAATCATGATTTGAATCGGCTGTATACATACGAAATACCGCTGGTATCTCTACAAATTGATATCTCACCTGTCCTAACAAAATTACCTGTGGAAGAACACATGATAATAATAAAGGAAGGAACGAAACTCGAACCCATTTTCAATACGAACTTTCATTGTCACGAGAGGAAACGTCTGTCCAAATTTCAAGTTAATGATAATGATATTTGTATTTTTACACAGGCTAGAGCACACATACGTTTTGATTGATCTAGATAGAGGACATTGGGACGAGTATTTAGAAAAAAATACACATTGAAATCGGTTGCGTAGTTTTTGAGACATAGCCCATAATAGGTTTTCAGGAAAAGTTGTACATCTCCGAAACTACTGGGCCGATTGAGTCCATCTTCAATACCAATCTTCCCTATCACAAGGGGAAGATTCTTTCCAAATTTCAAGTTGATATTCCAATTTTTGCGAAGGCTAGAGCGTGCATACGTTTTAATTGATCTAGATAGAGGATACTGGGACGAGTATTTTGAAAAAAATACACATTGAAATCGGTTGCGTAGTTTTTGAGACATAGCCCATAATAGGTTTTCAGGAAAAGTTGAATATCTCCGAAACTACTAGGCCGATTGAGCTCATCTTCAATACCAGTCTTCCCTATCACAAGGGGAAGATTCTTTCCAAATTTCAAGTTGATATTCCAATTTTTGCAAAGGCTAGAGTGCGTACAAGGTTTTTCATGAAAAAACAGAAAATCGGGAATATCTCGAAAACTTAGTATGGACGGCTATATATGTTTTGATTGATCTAGATAGAGGACATTGAGACGAGTATTTTGAAAAAAGACAAATTGAAATTGGTCTACTAGTTTTGGAGAGATTCGCGAAAAACGATTCACAAACAAATTGCTTTTTCTCAAAAACGGTTGGACCGATCGAGCTGAAATCGTGCACAGAGTTAGTCCTTAGGAAGACCTATAATCGTGCAAAATTTCAGATTTTTTTGAATTATTTTACCCCACTATTCTTTCACTTTTCATAAAGGACATCTGGCCCTGGAGGTGTTCACATACAGACATGGTGCCCAAACTTCGTATTTTTACGTTTCAGACCATTCTACATCGTTTCCAATCAAAATTAGAGAATGTGAAAATCGGTCGATTACAATGCTTCCCGTTCGGACGCAATAATGATGAATATCCAAAAAGTTTCATTCTGTAATTGTTCTAAACGCTTTCAAAATATTCCATTCAAAAAATTTGAGTAAAAGACAAGTCATAAAATCAAATTCTTACGAGACTCTTAATATTTGAATAGAATCTTTGCTAGATGCATGCCAAAACAATAAGGGATTGAATTTTATCGTTTCTCTTCAAAAATCCAGAGAACGGATTCAGTCGACCTCGAATCTTATAAAACCACTGCCATCTACTGGTTCATCTGAACACGATCGAAATTCATGTTAGGGCCATCTACCATGGATTTTGAAAAATAGGGCTTGCCACCGCCTCCAAGCCGTTGACCCATGCTCATAATAGGGGTCTCCCGAACCTCCATAAACCCTCGACCCTTCAAATTAATCCACTTACTGCTGTCGATGTACTGTCGACCTTTCTACTCTGTTGCTGTCGACAGTGACAGGACAGAGGATCGATAGTCCCTGTTGACAGTGGCTCGACAGTAATGCGGATTTTGGCTGTCCGGGTAGCAGTAATTTCTTCAAATTCATCAAAAAAACTCAATTAATGAGTGATAACTGACACTAATCTTCTGATAATTAACTTCCCAATCATTATTCCACTTTATTTCGATCATTTTCATACTTTTTAGGCCCAAAAATGCACATCTACACACATCTGCGCTATACTGTAGATGTAACGTGTTCCATATATCTCCAGGGATGGTACTGCGTAATCATGTTCAAAATCCCAAAGAAAGCCTTTATCTCGAGGTTGTTCTATTTGAGACTACACTTTTGGCGTCAATTTCAGAATAACAGTATCGTCTTGTGCGATACAATTGGCATTTAGAATGACATTACAATTCACATGGGTCAATAGTTTCTTCAAAGCAGCTACGAGTTGTCTGACGGTTGGGTTATTATTGCAACCATTGAAGCGGCGAATACAAGCAAACAGTGTTTCGATATTGTCTTGAGAGAGATTATAGCTCAATAAGAATGTCAGATATCTTTCTTGGAATAATTTCTCAGCTAGCTGCACAAGACTTCTCATCGAAACAATTAATCCCAAAAATCCTCTGGAATTTCGTGTGTGGATATAATTATTTAATTCCTCCACTCGTAATTTTGTTTCACTCAAGTTGTCAACAGTGACTGGTTGTTGTGTCTTCGCTTTTATTAAAAAATTTCTTGAATGAAGCAAGTCGAAAACATCATTAATTTTTTGACAAAAATCTGCTGTTGGTGTGGCCCCCTCAAAGTCTGATAATTCGTAATCTACTTCACATGTCTGTAGAGCAACAGCAACCCTGAAACTCAAAGTTTGTACAGCTAATCGAACTTTCATTTTTTCATTCTCGAAATCGATATGTCGACGACGCAATTTGATGGCCAAATGGAATCCTTCGGCTTCTTGGAGTTCCGCAAGTTTCCTTAAAAATTTCCATTTAATCTTCCTACCATTGGGGTCAGTAAAAACTCCTTTTGTTGCCAACGTATTCCTCGTGAGCTTCGATGCATGAGCGGAATCAATCGTGATGAAGACATAATTCAGAGACCAAGGATCGATAATGTAATTTTTTAGATCATCAAGACGATTGATTTGGCCACCGAGCTTGTGCACCATCGCCGCGTTGGCGGACAAACCATCAAAAGTGATATTACAAATTTGAATCCCACGCTCATGAGCCGCGTATAAAATATCTTTTAGAATATTACTTTTCTCATCTCCTGTCAATGTGTCGATGAGATAATACGCAATTACAGTCTTGAAGTAGCGATTGATCCCTACTAGCACGAACACAAGCGCGTTGGAGGTTTTTTTATCATCTCCCGAATCCTCGGTCCTGTTGTCAACGTCTACATATCACGTGATTTTTCCCTGACTGTCCACTTCAACATTTTTCCTAATAGCCATCTCATCGAACGTCAATGAAAAATAAATCTTCTTTCCTTCCGCCTCAGCATTCTGACATAACTCTTGAATGGAGTTCAGTACCTCAGTCGAAATCCCTGGTTCGAAATTAATGGAATGCATCCATCTCCTTATGGTGCTCTCATGTGAGAATACTTTCATGAGGGTTTGTCTAGCATATTCATATGCAGATGGGGGATAGAAGTGTAATGTGCAAGCAAATTCCTTCAATTCTGGTGGGAATTCATGCTTTTTCCCAAATAATATTGCCTGTATCAACTCTAGAACTGTATCAGACCAGGTTTTCTGTAGGAAACAAAAAGAGAAAAAGAAAAAAAAACAAATAAAATTTTCGTCTGAAAAGCATTTTATTACGTAAATAGAATGCAATGAATTTCAACTTATGAAAATTTAAAATACAATGGGCCAAACAGCGTACATTGAGAATAAAATAGTGTATCATTCACAAAAATGGGTATAGAAGCGAGAATTCAATTGCATTATGATTCTTCATATGAAAGTACATTAATGTATTAGTGGATAAATTTTATTTTCGACGAATGTGAGGTTAACAATTTTAACACATGCACCGAAAATAAAAGTTATCGACAAGTGCGTTACTACTGTTCTAGTTCGATGCATACAATAAGTTTCGTTTATCGCATGTATTAAAGTATAACTAAACCATCATCAGTATAATGCTTAAATTCAACGTTTTAAATATACATATATATATATATGTATAATTAAATCTATCCAAAAAAATCAGATAAGCCTATTTAAAAAACAATTTGCTGGTTATTCTACTGACAAGAAATCACGAGGAATAAACTTGTAATATTCGTTATAATGTAAAATAGATAAAATTATAAATATTGTAAATATAATCTTGAATATATCATCAAATACTGTACATATGTAATTCAGTCGTAAAATTATAAAGGGTGATAAGTCGACGTCTTCCACAGTTGCTTGTTCAATACATATCTCTAAACCTGAGAAAGTTATTGGCTTTTCTATCGAAAAAGGTGATGACAAAGATTCCCTTACTTCTCTTCGATTTAGAGATATTGGTCAAAAACTCAGTCTGGAGCCACATCAACTAATCAGCCTTTACCATTTCACTCCTGAATGGTAAATATTCATATAATTCATGAGGAAATTCGTGTATCTCAATAATTAGTATTTTATCTTACATTCAAAATAACCGCAGCTGAATCCGTCAGCAAGTCTATCCTCTTTAATTCGTCAATAACATGTTTGTACGTTTCAATTTTTGAAACCAAGCGTTCATTCCTACGACTTAATACTTCAATTTTTCCTTTCAATCCTCTAATGCATCTCATGAATTTCCTCCAACTTGCTTCTTCCTTGAATTCTCCACTCCGGAATATGCCAAATTCCTTCAAATTCACCCGCTTTTTGGGTGGCATATCGAATTCATCGTTGTTTGTACCTCTTTTCCTAAGTAGAAATGTTAACATGGAATTATAATAAATTTTCATATTTTTAAAATGATGTTACTTTGAATGTTTACCTTTTCAAAACTTCAGTTCTTGGAACAGCTGATTTCCCAGGAGGAGGACTAGGGGTTGACAACGATTCAGGAGAAGAGCTAGGGGTTGGCGTGGATTGTTCAGGAGGCGAACTACGAGTTGGGTTAAAGGGTTCAGAGGGGGGACTCGAAGGTAAAATCGATTGGTCAGGAGGACTAGAAATTGAAATCGATTGTCCACGCGAAGCACTACAACATGTAACAGCTTGTTCAGAGGGAAGACAAGAAGTTTCGATTAACTGTGCCGGAGGAGAGCTAGGAGTACGGATTATTGTTGGTGATTCGACCCCAACCATCGTATTTTCATGCAATTGCGACGACTCCACCTCATTCACGAAATTTTCTGAATGCCTGAATAGAATACACAAATTCATTAGTGATAGACTCGATTGTCATTTCGATAATAAATCGTAATTGAGAATTGGAAATAGTTATTTGTCACCTACACATTTTGACTCTCAGGCAAAGAGCCACACGTAGCCACACTAGCAACATTAAGCCGTGGAACAGCATAAGATTGCAATAAAGATTTGTCACATAATGGGCGGTAATCCTTCGGTAGAAAGTGATTACTACAAACAGCAAGTTCTTTCACGTTCCCTTTCCCTAATATTTGTAACCACTTGTTCCGTGTTTCTGGATTTTTAGGCAAGCTGTAGGACAAAGTCATGTTTAGTGATATTGAAAAGATCTAAAACATGAACAACGTAATGTTATGAAATTTTTTTACCGATGAAACATACGATTCGGATTAGGAATCGACTTCGACTGTTGGACCCCACAGACACAACACACTCGAACCATTTTCCTCACTTTGATTGCCACTGACTTTACGACTCAACGAACGTTTGTTGTCATCAGACAACCATGCGTACCTCCATGTTCAATATTTCCCCCCTCTACATTACCTTCTGCTCTCCCACTCCGCTTTCTACAGACAGACAGAGAGAGAGTGGACCGCTACGCAGGCTATCTCTCTCCGAATTTCCGTAAGCTCGGGGAGTCGAACGAGCGCTCTAGGCATAGAGATGATGATGATGAGATGATTTTTTGTGGCACTGACTAAGTTGTCTTGCGGCCGTTTAGGCAAAGAGGATTGACTAAATCCTCTTTGGCTCTAGGTATATAACAGAGATTATAGGCAGGGTTGGGCATGTAAAATATATGCAGTAAAATACCCAGTATTTTACACGTAAAATACCATGTATATTACACTCGAGGTTTTGGCATGTTAATACTCTACGTCTGTTACTCGATGTATAATATACTGAGGACCTTATGAGAGTGGTCTCAGGTTTGAGTGGTGGGGGACATCAACGCATGCCTGAACTCGAAAGAGTGGGGGTACCCAGTCAGGACCATTCTCATACGGTCTTTAGTATACACATGTATGTGATGTCCCGACATTGACTCTAGCGCTATAGATCGTTTGATTAAGTCCGCGAAATTCCAATCAGGTTTGAATAATTCAAATTATTAGACGTAATCCGGAGTTGAGAATTGAGGGAGAATAGTACAATGAACAAGGGAAAGCAATAACTTTTAAGCGAGAATAAACTGTTGATGGAATTTTAGACTCGAGTGTTTGGGTCTGCGATTTGTTAGAATATTTTATAGCTCTCCAAATTCTCGTGGAGTAAACACTTTTTCTAGGTGTCAAATTTAGGGTCGAATTTATTGGACAGTTACGGTCCTCACTCGTCACGATCTCGAGTTCTGTTTGTATCAACAGTTTTACGGCCTCACGTGCGCAACACGTGTGGTGCCTTTTGTTCATTGTGTTCCCCTGGTTGAGGGCCTAGAGTCCCTCCAAGAGGAAAACCTGCGACGCAAAATACTCCCCTTTTCTCCTTTTCCGCTTCTCCGTTTTCTCTTTTCCCTTTCCTCAGGGCCTAGTTTGCGTGCGCAACTCTTAGATTAGTGGGGGTTGTTGGACCCAACCCTTGGAAGTTTTAGTTTAGGATAGTTCAGTTCCTACACAAGCCTTCTGCTTGCTGCTTCTCTCTTCAATCTTCAAGTCCACAAGTGTTTTATTGAGTTTATACTTTGATCGTTTAAAGTCTTGACTTTATTAAAATAAAGTGTGTTCAGTGCTCCCTAAATCATCAGTGTCCACGTTATTTCGTCTATCAACCTGCTCCACATAAATAATCCTGTCAACTATTAAATTGAATCTCGATGGAGTGCTCATCAGAGCTTTGGCGGCCAACGTTCCCGCACTCAAACCTGGCGCTTAATTTTTGAATTGGCGCTAGTGTCCCACTAGTTACATCGTTGAAATGATTGGGACGTAACATGTATAATACTAGGTATTTTACGCCCCAAAGGTTGGTCACATTAGGTAAACTACAACTCGTTAGCTTAATCAGAGATAATAGGGGAGATTGCTCAGGCTTATGGGAACTGTTCGATCAGAGTTTCATAGCGGTGGCGCGCATGAACTAATCGAGAGGCCGTCTCTGTGGGTAAAGAAATTTTCATCTATTACCATGGAAACAGTCGATAACAGGGATGCGTTCCCAATCTTAAATCCAACATGAAACCTCCTTTGCATTCACTCATCCGCTTGATTATCCCATTTTCGTTCATACAACTTCTTATTGTCTTAATTTGTAAATTAGTTGATCATAAAGGAGAGGGAGAGAAGGAATTATGAAGTCTTGAGCGAAAGAGGATCATTTATTTGAATTTCTATACAACTAGATCTT